CTGCTCCGCGTAAAAGTGTAACAATCATGAGGATTTATTAGCTGATTATCGTAAAGGTGGCAGTTCATCTTGCCTGCCAAAATGCAGGTGATCAGAAAGTTAAATAATTACATGCAGATTAACATTATTTCACCTTCACTTGAAATTTGTAGTTCACTGACAGGTAAAATTTGTTGTTTAAACTTGCAGTATGGTGCACAACACCCAAGTCGGTTTATTGACTACTCAGCATCTTATTGAGCACTTAATCACTTCAGAACATACTGAATAGAAGACAGAGGTGAAAGGAGCATGGACTTTCGAGTCAGGAGTCCTGGATTTGAGTCTCAGATCACCCAGTTCCAACACAGCGAGGCAACCTCTAAGCCTCCATCTGCCTCACTTTTCATGCCTGTGAAATTGTTTTATGGACCACTCTCATTATCCCCTAATGTTGAGCTAATGAATATAATAATATAATAGTGCCCTTTAAATTGCAAAGCATTATCATTATTGTTTCCTTCTACTCATGGTAAATTTATTTTTATGTAAAATTTAACAACCAGATGGCATTAACTTTTTAGTTTTACAATGATGAAAAAGTTATGATACCTTGACAAATGTATAGGCTTTCTTTTTTCAAACAACAATTCGGTATTTTTTTTAAGTATAAAGATCACTCAGACACCTTTAGACTTTAACTCATTATTTCTCCCCTGTTGAGTTATATACACATACCTTTCCTCAATTACACTGAAACTTTGTACCTTCCACTCAGACATGTTGTTCAAATTGCCTTTTCATTAACACCTGGTATCAAATTATGTATTTATTTAGAGAAGGAAGAGCCATAATTTCTAGTATTAAATCAAGCTTCAGATATTTAAATTAAAGTCCTACAAATATTTGTTAAATACCTATCATGTGTCCGATACTTTTGTGGGCATCGAGGATGCCACAGTGTACAAAACACTCAAAAATCCTCATGGAACAAAACCCACATGGAGCGTACATTATAGTGATGAGAAATAAATGATAATGTCCAGTATTCAAGTAGTGATTACTTCAACTGAGAAAACAAAGCAGGACAGGGAAAAGAGAATGTCTAGGAAAGAAAGGGGCTTCAATTTTAAACAGGATTGGTATGGATGCCTCTCTAACGTGATATCTGTGCACAGACCCAAGGAAGGTAAAGAAGCAAGGCAGATGGACACCCAAGTAAAGAGTCCAACAGACTGAGGGAAGAAGGGTCCTGGGGTGACAGAGGGCTTAGTGTGCTTGAGAAACAGTGAAGAGGCTACAGCAGCATGAAAAGAGGGAGGAACAGAACAGCAGAAGTTCAAGGTAGAGGGGTCACAGGGCCAGACCCTGAGGAGCATTATAAACTACTGTAGGGAGTTTGGTTTTATCCGGATTACCATGGGAAACACTTGAAGGGCTTTCTTTGTAAAGAGAAGTTTAATTATTTTATTAATGTCACGTGGAAGGAAGAACAGGAGGCTGTTGCTATTGTCTGCACGAAAGCTGGTGGTGGCTTCAAGCAGAATTGTAATGATCGCAATCGTGAGAAGAGTGAATTCTGAACATATTTTGAAGAAAAACTTAGAAGGTTGCTGATGTATTTAATGAGAGTGAGAGGAGGAAATGAATAACAAACGACTCCAAGGTTTTTGGTATTAGCAGCAAACTAGGGAGAATCCTGAAGGAAGGGCAGATTGGAGGGGTAGGGAGAGTGAGAATTTTGGCTTTGAACCTGCTATATTGGAGGCGCCTATTAGATACTGAAGAGAAGATATCGAGTAGAAAGTTGGATGTGGGAATCGGGAGTTTAGGTGAGTGATGGGCTGGAGCTGTACCTTTGTCACTGTCAATCTTAGATGGTGCAAAAGCATGAGTGAATGAAGTCATCACAGCAGCAAGCATAGTCAGAGAAGACACAGAAGGAGCGGGTTCTGAAGCTCTCCAGAACTAAAACAGGAAGAAGATGAGAAAACATTTGCATAGAAGATCATGAAAGAGCATGCAATGAGGTAAGATGAAAACAGTCTGGTGTCCTGGAAGCCAAGCGGAAAATGTTTCAAGGTCAGGAAGTGGTCAGCCGAGTCCACCTCTGCTGCTGGATCAGCTGAAATGAAGGTTGAAAAATGGTCATTGGATTCAACAACGTGGAAGTCACAAGAGACCTCCATTAATAAAAAAAAAAGTCCTGCCCTGGCTGGCATAGTTCAGTGGATTGAGCATGGGCTGCGAACCAAAGTGTCATAGGTTCAATTCCCAGTCAGGGCACATGCCTGGGTTGCAGGCCACAGTCCCCAGCAACCACACATTGATGTTTCTCTCTCTCTCTCTCTTTCTCCCTCCCTTACCTCTCTAAAAATAAATAAATAAAAATCTTAAAAAAAAAAGAAAAAAAAAGTCCTGTTATTGAGTAGGCATTTAAAAAACACATTTCCAAAAATCATTATATATGACAAAAACTAGAAAATAAAGAGGATAATAACAAAATTATAACACAATAAATTAGTATATGTAGATAATCTAATTTACACAGTTTTCTCAAATTTGGGAGTGAATTTGGACAGTATTCTTTAAAAAAAGGTTATTAGGCATTGAAGGGGCAACATTACCCTTCATGGCCAACTTTTATTTACTCATCGATTATCAGCTGACTCCCTGAATAGCCTCTAACTTTTAAGTGAATACAGACATATCTTAATTATTCCCACCACAAAGAAAAAATTACAATTATGTGATATGAAAGAGGTGCTAGCTACAGCTCTAACGGCAATCATATTACAGTATAAATGTCCTGTGTCAAGTCCACATGTTATGCACCTTAAATTACATAGTTGTATGTCAAATATATTTCAATAAAAATAAACAAATAAATAAGTAAAAAACTTAATACGTAGAATGTTGCAACGATAGCTTGTAAGGGAAGACAGAAGACCACAACTACAGTTTTGCTCCTATTACTTTACCCTTAAAACTAACATTTAATTGGGAGTTAAGTCCATTTTCTTCTAAACTATTGTAGGAACCAAGGAATTCTATTATAATCTGCATTATTTCTACTGCTACCACACAACATTTACATGAACACAGGTGACTTTACTTGCCTCCACTTAGGTATAATAATATGTTTTTCAGTGACAGAATGTGTTTGAAGTACAATTTAAAAACATAAAGTTAGAAAGTTAGATGTTCAGATAGTGCTATCTGGACATCGAGTATATTAGAAATGATGATATACCATAGTCATTTCCTTTTTCTGCAGCAGGCAGCTTTGTTAAATTAGCAGAGTGTACAATAAGGTCCTATTGTCCATTTTTACTATCTCAAAATTCAACAGTAATTCTCTTTCCTGTGTAAGGTGGTTTAAACTGATATCAAATGGTGTCCCAGGAGTCATTTTGTCCATACCTGTGCTCTTGTTTATTCTAAAATCTTTTTAGCTCAAGTTGCTTTCACAGGCAGACATGTTTAGCATATGACCAAAAATTGATTTTTTTGTTTTTTGCTTTTAGTGACACTGATGCCAGATAAGTTTTCATTATATTTATTTTAATTTTTTAATTTTTAAATATTTTATTGCTTGTAGTTTTCATTATATTTAGGAAAAAGGTGTAACTGAAAATAAAAGTAAGCCACTCAAAGTGAATGAGAGTTTTAAAAGCCCTTATTGTTCTTTAATGGTTGCATTTGGAATCACTGGCACAAGCCAGTTTTAATCCAACGAAGATATTGGGAAACAGAGTAGATAGCTGTGCCCTTGAGGGAGATGGAGCCCAGGACTCTGATTCCGCAGTCCGGGCTTTCTGCCTGATAGGCACAAGCATGAAGAATGCATCTTACAATCCAGGTGGAGCCAGCTGGAGCCAGACACTAAATGTGGGGGGTAAATACCTCCAACAGTCAGAAAAAAGAAGGAAGGATACACTTCCAACTAGGTTACTTGTTTACTGGGAAGAATATACAATGAAGGCCTGCCCTTTTAAAGGGATTAAAATGTAAATACTATTAGGTTACAGAGGTGTTTTTCTCATTTCACTTTATAAATAAAATATTGAAGGGTCATGAAAGCTAATCTTTGACCTTTCACTTTATAATCCCATGAAGAAAATCATTGTTTAAAACATATATATCAGAATAATAAAAAAAGAGATAAATACATTGGATTGAATTCCTGTTCTTGATTTTCTAGCCTAAAATTCCACTTGTTAGTATGCATGCAGTTCTTCAAGCTATACCTGTAGAGACTTGGAAATGTGAACTACAATGAAGAAAGAATTTTATGCACTAACAAATTCTTCTGTGCAGCATGCTTTGATTTCAGTATTGGCAGGTTTCAATATGTTTTTCTACAAAGAGACATATAAAACTATCAAGAAATATAAAAACAGGCGTTCAGGTGAGAAAATGGTTCATACACTCAAGCAGGCATTCAAAATAACTTTGTGCAGGGATATCATGTGAGCCTCAGAAGAGTCCTTTCTTCACTGCATTATCAGACTAGCACGATCTGCCTCACTTAACGCTTCCTTCACTAAAACTTGGGAACTCTACCAATTTATGAACTCCTAGAGCTAGAAGATTATAAAGACTCTTCACCTTGTGGGGAGTTCTAGGAAACCGCATTCTACGGTAACAACACGCTTTACGAAAAGTAATATAATCTCAGATCACTTTACAGACTATGAATATGCTCTTTATTCCTTTAAGTATGTTATATCAAGTGAGACTGTTGTTTCTCAACTCCCATAACTTTGATGCACAATGTTTCTGACATCTGGAGAAAATTTCTGGATATCAAATTTGGATAGCCTGTCCATCAACTGATCAAAACTGCCACCTACTGGTCTTCAAACCCAGTGCGCAGTTCACCCAAGCACTGCCTTACCATGGTAAGATCCCTTCCTTCTAAACAATAAAGATCATTTAAAATAACCAGACTTAAAGCAAATATTCTTTTAACAAATTACCCTCCTTATGGTGAACCAAAAATATCAAATTGCACAAACCTGCCAATAAAATCATCTCTTTTCCCAGCATCTTTGTCCCATGCAGTGATATCGATAATTCCACCCCTTTCTTCGTAGAGATGAAAATCAAATTGTTCTCTCCACTGAGGATTCAAAGTTTTTGGCATTATCTGCAAAACCAAAAAAGTCATTATTGTCTCAATATTGTCAGTCTTTACAAAAATTTAACTTGAGACATTCAATCAAACTTTAGATACTGTCTAGTGTCTGAACTAGATACTAGTAAAGATTTGAACAAAAGCTTCCAGAAATATGAAAATGAGCCATTAGGTCTCTAGCATCTTTACTACATATTGTCTGAAAGAACCTGAAAGCATGTCTCCTGAGAACCAAAGTCACCTTCTCACCATCTTGAATAACAGAATAACAGACGAGAGAAATGCATTATATAGAAAAGGCAAAACCATAGTCTATAAGTGAAGTATAGCTCATTCAGACACTAGCACTTGTTTTGTATAACCAGCCTATGTACAAAGACATAACTGGATGTCTGCCATCTCATAACAAAGGAAGCTGAGGATCCCCAGAGTTTCTTTTTTCCTTACTTCCCCATACATGACAATTTCTGCACTGAATACAGAATAAAAAAATTCTCTGGGTAGTGAAAAAAAGCAAGTAACTTTGGAGTGGTCAGGTAAACATCTCCTAGAATTATAGCATTGATGTATCATCTCCATTTTATATATGGAAAAACTAAGACATGGAGTTTAAGTGACCCATCCAAGTTCATTACGTTTTAGTGCCTAGACTCTGAGTAAACTCTTTGATTAAAGCTTCAGATCTCTTTCCCCAAAACAGTATGTCAAACATGTTTGTGAATTAATATGAACATGTGTGTATGTATGATCTCCGTGTTGCACACATAAGAAAGATACCTTATCTGAAGTGCAATTTTGTAACTTCAAGTATTCTGATAAGACACCTGGTGGAATCAATAAAGTGATCCATACTGATTTCCTTTAAAATTCCATTCCCCATTGGATTATACAACACGCGTACTTGTTTCCCTAGTCTTTCTAAGCAGGAGGCCATGCAGTGGCCTTTTCTCTTTTTAATGTATGGGAGACAGATCTTCAGATGTAAAGACTTTGGAAGCAATGAAGTATGTTATGCACAAAGGTAATGCAAATGAATCACAATTTTTAAAGTTCATAATCTGAAATTAATCAGCAATAGATCATGGAAAGAAAGAGCAAAGAGAGACACGTGTCCATAGCTGGGTTTCATATTTCATACCTAAAGAGCAGAACTATAAAAATAAGTAATGTTTTAAGCCTACCAGAACATAGAAATGATGTTAATTGATAGAGGACAAGACAAAGTGGTCATAGGTAACTATTTTTGGAATCAGTAGTTCCTTTAAAGTATGTTATTAAGCCCATGGCAGAAAAAAAGATGGCACTGGATAGATGCTATGATAATTCAAATGTCTTTTAACTAGGCTCAAATGAAGTCCTATGGTATTTTGTGGGGTGGTCTGTCTTACTTATTTGGCCATAAAGCACCTAACTTTTCAGTTTCCTTTTTTAGGATTATCCTTCCTATATGATTTCCTTCAGGTCAGAAATGATGCCCTCCCGCTCCATGTGGGCACTCAGTGAGGTAACTAGTGAGCCAGACAGCAGTGCTCACTGCCTGCTAACAAGTCAGATCTGTGATACTTCCAATTACCTCAGGTACCAATAAAACCTTCCTGGGCCAGAAGGAACCTAGGCAGGCTGTTTACCAATAGTTCATTAGAATAATGTCAAGGCCAAGATAGTCCCATCAAGGCAGAAGGTGATTTTTAATATGAGATGGATGTGATCAGTTGCCCCAAGCTGTCTATGAATAGCAGCTGTAGAAGCTGACCATTAAGGAGGCTGAATTTGAATACAACAAAGATATGACATGTGTCCCAAATATAACTATGACTACTATGACCTTTGCTAATTATTATTCCTTCTCTCAATAATATAACTATGATTATTCAATACAGTGTTACTACTAATATAATAGTTATTATACAATATACTTATTTTATTTTTTTTATTTAACTTAGAATTCTTTTAAGATTTTATTTATTTATTTTCAGAGAGGGAAGGGAGGGAGAAAGAGAGAGAGAGAAACATCAATGTGCGGTTGCTAGGGGTCATGGCCTGCAAACCAGGCATGTACCCTGACTGGGAATCGAGCCTGCGACACTTTGGTTCACAGCCCGCGCTCAATCTACTGAACTATGCCAGGCAGGGCTACAATATACTTATTACTACTGCTGCTACTCTTCCTCTTCTTTCTGCTACTATTATTTATTGAGTATTTAATTATGGGCAAGGCAGAATTTCCAGCACTTTACATGTTTAAAATATTTATTCAATCTTCTCAATAACCTTACTAGGTAAGCACTACTTTAATTGTCATTTTTACAGATGGGAAATTGGGGCATGAAGAGGTGAGTTGACTTGCCCCTTGTCTCACTGCTGGTAGAAGCAGCAGGAGCCTTTGTTTTCTAAATCAATGTAAAACAACTTTAGGTCTGCACTGGTGAACATCAGTTTGCAAAATGGCTCAGAGGAACTGATGCAGATTTTTGTGGCATGTAAAATAATGCTATCTGTAGCACTGATACTAGTACTAGTTGTAATAATAAGAGGAGCCAACACTCTTTGAGCACTTTATGTGCCAGGCACTGACAGGTTTGTTGCAGCCTGTTTTTGTTACTGTTCAAGATAGTTCCTCCTTTTATTCCTGTGTCGTAAATGAAGAAATTGAGACATACAGAAATTAAGTAGTTTACCCAAGGTCACTTAGCACATAAAGTAAGAGATGTACTGCAATCATTGGTTGTTTCTTGACGCGATATTCAAAAGTTCTGTTAAGCATTTTAAAAAGAGTATTCATCTTCCAAAACATGGCTACTGACTAACCATCGCTTTCCAAATGCTGACAGGAACACAAAAAAGACACAGTCACCTTGCTCTTGTACTTCTGATGCCCAAGCCGGAACTTTACGTAGGGGTCACTCAGCCCGTTGGAATCCATCGCCTTGAGATCCCGCCCCTCGATCAACGTGATACTGACTATTCCTCGCCAAAGGTGCGATTTTCTGTGTGCGTCTGATAGGCGTAAACTTTGGGTCTGAAACTTTTTGCAAAAGAACACAGAGTTAGCCTTTTTTTTTTATATACCAAAATATCTCAGTGGGCACTATATTGTTACCATTTTTCAAAAACAAAATTAGGCAGCTATAAAGCTTTTAAATAAAATAATTTATGGATTATTTATTAATTATATAGTTATTAATAAATATGAAATTATCAAATCACAATAAATTTAAGAATGTGTTAAAAAGGTGAATGCTCAAAATAAAGTATAATTTTCAACTTAAAATGATAAGCTGTAGGTACTTCAAGAACATCAGAGAATATTCACATGTATCAAACATGCCTGTGTTGAAATTAGAATTAGATAAATATAAATATGAATGTCCTCATCCACACCGTGAAATTTCATTTTTAATTATTTATGGATTTTTGAAAATCTTTTTTTCGTGTTACAAATGGATTTTACAGGGGTTTTTTAGTTCTTAGTTATAAGTTCTATGCACTTTAAAAAAAATTTTATTGTCATATTAAAAGAGTTTCAGCTCACTAAAGAACTATTTAAGGTACCAAAGAACAGAAAACAAAATCAGTATGTCCACCCAAAATGTCTTGCTTATGTTTGAAACTTACATTACAAAACTTAAAATTTACACATGCGATTTATATTGGCAGGTATGTTTCTGAATTTATTTCTTACTCTAGTATTTAAACATTTTCTTTAATGGTTTTTATTATGCTGTTTTAAAACACAATATTTAAGTCAGTGAACCAAATCAGAAGTTTTAAAAACTAGTAATTCTACTAAAAATGGGAATATAATCTCTTCAAACTAAATAGCACATAAAACAAGCCAGAGAAAGTGGCTAAATTGTTAAAATCTTTACAATCTGTGTTCAGTAACATAGAAACTGCTGTTTGTTTCATATTCTTCACTTATGGTCATTTCATGAAAAAAATTCAACATTTCTCTCAACTTCAAATTATTCCACTTCTAAATTATGAATTAGCTCCACTTTAACCTAATTCCTCCTACATTAATGTTGTAACATCATAGCCTATTTTGTGTACTCCCCTCCCACTTTTAATTCCTATTTTATTCCAAATCATAATAATGCCAGACATTTTTATCTGTCATCATCAAAAGTCATGCATTTCAGGGTGCTTCAATTAGAAAAATGAAAACTACATTCTTCAAAAGATAATACTTTTAATAGTTGAACATTTCAAGGGAAATCTTTCCAAATCACATTACGTATTTCCCTACCTTGGGGATCAACACATTTTAAACAACATTGCTTGACAGTTCTGCCTTACTAATAGCAATGTGAGACTGCCTCCACATTCCTCACCTCTGTGAGCTCCAAGGGCAGTGTTCAAGTGCACTCTGAAGTGCAGCAGAGGTTTCATGGAGCACCTGTGACTTCTGAAGACTCCATTACCCCACCTCAGCTAGAGCCCCCTTGCCCCCATCTGCTTCACACACCGGGTTTCCACAATGGATTTGCTTTGAACCAAGGATTCCTCAGATTAAAAAAGCCACTGTTTAAGATTTATTGCACCAAGTGATCTTCAAGGCTTTTTTTTTTAGTTCTAAGATTTATGCTAGTTGTTATTATATAATACAGCAACTGATTTCAGTGTGTCTGTCTGAAATCAGTTGCTGCATTAGATCCACTTCTGCTGCTGTGGGGACTACCTCTAACAGCAGACATTAGAGACTGGGTTCTAAATTTTGGGTCTGAAACTTTTATTAAGGAATAGGAGTAGCAAAGAAGGAAAGAAGAACATTTTTTTTTGCAAGTAAGAAGAAATAATTATCTCAGTGATAATTATTATCCCAAGACCAAGGAATTAATAACTACCCCTTTATATAAAGTTTTAGAATTTAGAACTGTTTAAGTATACATTATATCACGTGGTTTTCACTAAAACCCAATGAAGCAAGAAGGCAAGGCCTGCTAATTCCCATCTTACTGATGCAGAGTTTGATATACAAACTCTTGACTTACAGGCTGGGAAGGGCAGATAATGCTTTCCATGGGATCCTTCATGCTTTCACAGAAATAAGTGGTTTGTCTAATAAATAGTGGATATGTGACTAGAACCCAGTATTTCTGAACTTTGTTCCTGCTTTTCTCCCAATATTGGTCTTTGGCAGAGACTCTCTCCTAGGTTTAAAAATGATCATTTAAGTATAATGTTGCTGAAAGAGTACTCTCCTATTAAATGAATTGAATATATTTGAAATTCCAGGTTAGATTTTCTACATGGCTAATACATGACATCACCTTCTACTTTATTATTATATGAGCACGTGTATTCATACTTATAATATTCCAGCTTGCTGATACACATACTTAGTAACATTTTCTATGCACTCTAGAAGCAGAAGTCATACACAGCACTCAGTAGAATAAGAGTGGGCACAATCTAGGTTACGTAGCATCTTCAGGCAGCAAGGCTAAGTTAGGTTCTTGAATGGTAGATACCACGTCTGAAACTTGTGTGCCCCACCTCCCACTTTCCACACGAGAACAACAACTTGGCTTACAGGGTGGGAAGGGCAAGAATGGTTTCCATGGGATCCTTCGTGCTTTCACAGAAATAAGACGAACTAAATGAAAGTTTTACCTACTGTCATTGGTTGTTACAAAATGCTCTTCTATGACCTGGAAGAACATTCCCAAAACAACTTGGGAAGCTAAGAGGGAGGGAGAGGGAGAATATTTATATACAAAAACAGGGCTAATGAATGTGAAATTAATGTATAAAAGGTTTAAAGGAAAAAAAAGAGGATGGGGCTCCAAAGACATACTAATCAGATATAATTTTTAAAGTGATTTTTCCTTCTTCATTATTTTTTTGTAAATTGGTATTCTTCTAAAAAGAAAATCCATTAATTTACCTGTGATTTGATTAACTTCATAATCATGAAACAGATAAATATTTAGTCTAAATGTGAAGAATAGGACTTGGAAATAAAATTATAAGATAAAGGGGGAAGAGGTAAACTTAGGTTAGCAATAGTCAAAAACATAAGTGTATACACCCACAAACATCTTTCTAGCAATTTCTGACTATGTGACTTGGGCATGTTTTTTTCATCATGGCTGTTCAGACTGCACGCCAGGACCCCGAGTGTGCTGAGAGTGCTCTTCTGTTTCGTGTGTTGGGGTGGTGGCGGTTAGGGGTGTCTGTGTGTTGGGGGCTTGCATAGAAAAATGTATATTCCATAAACAAAGATTTAACCTGCTTAGGATAGCAATTTATTACTTTTACTTACTTTTTAAATTAAAGTTTTGGGGAGCTCAAGCAGAACTCCTTTGAAGGAGTGATAGCAAGTGGAATTCCAAAACTATAAAAAGAAAAACCTTTGAAAACCAGTAGCTCTAATGCTCTCCGAGGTACCTTCTGAGGTGTGTGCTGCTCTGTTTCAAGTTTCTTTCCTCTGCACAGTGCAGTGCTCAAAGTGTAGTCCACTGGCCAATGGCGTCAGTGGCACTTGGGAACATGTTAGAAATTCAGATTCGCCCTGGCTGGCGTAGCTCAGTGGATTGACCGTGGGCTGCGAACCAAAGTGTCGCAGGTTCGATACCCAGTCAGGGTACATGCCTGGGTTGCAGGCCATGACCCCCAGCAACCGCACACTGATGTTTCTCTCTCTTTCTCTTTCTCCCCCCCTTCCCTCTCTAAAAAATAAATAAAAATTAAAAATTAAAAAAAAGAACTTTCTTAAAAAAAAAAAGAAATTCAGATTCTTTAGCCCCATCCCAGACCAGCACAATCTAAAGCTGTAGGGGTGGAGGCCCAGCACTGAGGTTTCACCAGTCCTCCCTTGAGGTGGTTCTGATGTGCACGCAAGTGTGAGCAGCCCTGCTGCACACGTTCTGAGGTGTATGCACACTGGCCTTCACCCACGTTCTAACAGCTACAACGAATTACTATAATTACAACATTATGCATTGTCTGGCATGGATGTGATATACGCTAATTAAAGTCCTTCTTTAGTTCTGCTTCTCAATTTACTGATTAGGAGAGCATATCGATCCAGATATATGGAGCATTTAAAGAGAGAAGTAGCAGCCTACTGAAGAATTAGGTGAAGCTTGTTTATTATTTCCTTCTTTGGTTAATGTTTTTTCTCATGAAATATATCAAATAATACATTAATTGAAATATCGATCAGTCAACCAAAAATTACTTGCTGAGGCAAGGAGTGTTAAACAAATACAAGATATTCCTCAATAAAATGAACATGGTACAGCTGGTACTTAGTTCCCTAAGGTAGTGTTTTCAACTACATCCCTGTTGAAATAGAATTCTATTTGAGGAGGGAAAGAAAAAAATAGAAAACCACCCTAGCTTCAAAGCAAAGAACCAGCTCCGCAAAAAGAAGAAATAATCTTCACAGTTTTGAAGCAACAGCCCAGCAACAGCAACAGGGTCTTAGTGGGCAATTTGTGGAAATCACCAGGCAGGGTCACATGTATATTTCCAACACATGACCGAGTCAGCTCATGCATAACAGTGTGACATTCTCTCAAAAGGAATATTGACCTAAGGTCAGATTTAATAAAGAATATCAATATACATATCAAAGTCTGAGGCAATTAATCAATGATATTTATCTTTAGTAAGATTTTAGAATTAGTGAGCTGGCATTTTAAGGATAATATTAGTTTATGTATATTATTCCTTGAAAAGAAATGCAAGATTTCAGTTTCTAATCATATGTGTAAAAGAAGTCAGGGTAGGGAATGGGTTTTCAGAAAAGTAAATCAGCCATGAGAATCACAGCTCATGCAAGCTCAGAAAAATAAATAAATAAACCGAATGGTGGAACTTACTTGTGCACTTTGGTAATAAGCACTCTGAAGCTCTGCTCTGCAGAAGCCCAGCACAGGAAAAGCAGGCCTGCCGCACGTCTGGATGGAAATGAACGATCAGAGCTGTACGGGAAAGCTTTGTGCCCCTATCAACACCTCGTTGCAACCAGAGTTTAGCCAACATCATTGGAAAAAATATGTATTTGCTTCTTAAGTCACTGTCAGAAAATATCTCCCAGCGCAATGAAGACAAATGTCAGTGCAATGATATAGTTTCTAGCCACTGTTTTCTTTAGCAGCATAATGCTGCAGTGGTCAAGAAAATAAAGGTCAGAGATTATATATGGTCATACATCCCACCTGCATGATGTCTGGTTTTCATTAATAGGTGTAGCGGAAAAAGAAACACAGCAAGAGAAATCATGGAAACAATCATTTTCCCAAGTCTGCTGTATCAAAAAGCTTTTGAGACTGTTTTCAATAAGATTTTGTTTTGTTTCCAATGTCAAAAGCAGTGATCACGTTCCAGGAGAATACATGTCACATGAACAGAAAATAACTATGACCATGTTAACTGCATCCTACATGTTAATATCTTATAATGATTGCACAGATATCTTTAAAGTAACAGAGAAACTTTGTCCCATATAACAATTGCCTTTGTTGCCCTTGCTTCTAAAAAAGCAACCCAAAGGTACCTTCAGTTCTACAGCCCAAAGCAGCAAGAGATGGATTAAGAAAGATGAAACTGAACAATACTGTACGGAAATTATGGTGGGGCTAAAAGTTTATATTACATGACTTCCAGAGCAGCTAGACAGTTTCCTAGCAATCGTATGGTGAGATGAGAGTCATCGGTTTAATACCATCAGCAGAGCGATTAGGTTAGGCCAGTCTGAAAGATAGTTTAGATCACACAGAAAGAAAGAAACACGTATCGAGCCACTATTATGTGCTGGAGTTTTCACACTCCAGTGTTTCTCATGACAAGCATTTTTAAGGTAAGGAAACTGAGGCACAGAGAAGATAAATACCCCTCTCAGAGTCATATGGCCGGAGATTAGCAAGGTTGAAATTTGGGTTGCTGAGACCTCACTATAGTGGGATGATTTTAGATATAGTGGGATGATTTTTCCCACTATATCTCATTTTTTTGGTCAGAGACTGAGAAGTTCACTATACAAAAGAAAGAAGTTAATTTGTACAGGATTTGTTGAAATATTTTGACTTATATTTAGATAAAATATATTCTTGGGTATTAATTATTGAGAGAGGCTAATCAGGGGTTGAGGGGAACTAAATGTCAGCAGGTGATAATAATTCTAGCATATACTGTTCAGGAAAGCATTTGAGCAGTAACTGTACTCCATAAGAAATGATAGCCTACTGTCTATTAATAAGGTGGTGAAGTTGTAGACTCTTGCATATAAACTGAGAGCACTTATATATTCCAATCCTAGTTAATAAATTTTATTAATTCCATTTATTGAAAAACTGAATCACTAGTAATAGTAGATATCCTGATTAAAAAGCAGATCAACCCCCCCTACAAAAAAATAAGTCTATTTAGACTTACCATGTGGCTAAAGGAACACTCAGCCATACTAATCTCCTGATATGTGCAAATAATCCTTGGCTTTTGTTAGTGTGGATTTGATTACCTGTATACAAGCTAATCCTTCCAAATGAGACCCAGGCACTGTGAACCTGGAATGAAAGGCATTGCTTGTATCTTTACAATAGCTGTGCGTGGAGTCAGCCCTTTCCTCTATTTTTAGCACAGAGGTGAACATGCTTTCATTTAATCAAATGATTCACTGAGACACTACAAAGAAAAGATAATGACAGCCTAGAAGGACTGTTTTGTGCTGTAAAGGCTGGAGCGTGGAACAATTATTAGCTCAATCACAGGCACAAACATGTTCTATCTCTTCCTTTTCCTGCTGAGTTTATTCCCATGAATTGCACCTGGATGATGAAGACCAACAAGTAGATTTGCTCTGTAGCCATCCACCCTCTCAAGCATGATTGCCTTTACAGAAAACTGTCCTGTGCTTTGTGCAGCCTAGTTTGAAGTGTCTCGTCAAATAATAACGTTTCGATCCTTTCCTCTTAGAGGATGATTCATGCACTATAATCCTTAATGTTTCTTTCCTATTTCCACTACTTTCCAGTGTCAGGAAGGTATTTACGTTTACTTCAAATGTTTTAACTATCCTCCCTAAACTTAACTGTGGTCAAAGTTCTTAATCTTTTACTATATATTTGTTCAAAATATATACTAATAAAAATTCATCATATTGCCATAATCTTGTTGGTTTGCTAAGTAATATATCAATTTTCACAAGTAATCTGGTAGAAAAATAATGAGTTCTGGGTTTGACTTACAGAGGCCTTTTTTGAGACTTTTAATTAAAAACTGCAATTTTCTTTCCTGAGAGTCTTACTTTCATCCCTCAAGACAGAAATAATAGCTGAACTTTTCTTGACTGTATATGTCACATTCAGTTGAGTTGTTCAGAATACAAGTACTTCAGCAGAGGATCACATTCTTGTTTCATCAAGCCAATACCTTTCTCCTTGGTCTGGAGGGCCTTCCTTCAACCACACTGTTCTTTGACCCTGTGTTAAGGTGGGCTCTGACATACCTCAAAACAGCTCTAGAATCTATGCATTCTTTTTTGCCCATTTCATATTATGCCTGTTTCTCTATTTCTTTATATAATGTATTGCAGTGTAGCTCAGCCTTCTTCATTTAAGCAATATTAAAATTTATTTTAAAATTTATTGCAATTCACTACAATGTTCTCATAAGATGGTTTGTTCAATTGACTTTCAGTCATCAGAATGTAAATGCCTAATCAATGAGATAACTGGGAAAAACTTAAATGTATTAAATATTTGAAAAAATTATACTAACTTACCATCATTTAATTGAAAATTAAAAGTCTTTAATGACTTCTGACTTAGTGTAATCCAAATGGTTTTACATAATTTTTATTAAATTTCATGAAAAACTTGTTAATTACCATACCCACTGCTTAATGTTTTATGTCCTAAGATAATGTGTTTTGTTGAATTATAAATGCTATGTTTTTGGAAAATTAGAATATCCCTATATTGTTGAGGACCACCCTGCCTGGTCTCAGGAATCCGTAACTACCTATAACTATGGCTGAGTAAGAGGCCTCTGAACCAGGAGATGCTAAAGAGAAAACTTATTTCCCTGGCATGAACGCTGCCTGTTCATATGCCTCATTCCTTTTCATGCTTGAACGGCAGTCAATGATGGGTAACAATTCTCTTGGATAGAGAATGAATCTCAGACAGACGTGTTCATGAAGGAATGACAGGGACAAGACTCACGGGGCTGTGGAAATAACGGGGTGATCGACATCAATCACCAATTTTGCCAATGCCTGAGTCCTTGAGAAATCCAAGTCTCCCAGCTGCCTTTGTCTCCTCTGCCCAACTCAGGCTTGTTGGAAGTAACAGGGGCGGTACAGTTCAGACCAGAAATTGCTGACTCCTGGGGTAATCAGGCCTAAGACATAGAATATGAAAGACCCTGTGAAATCTGTTTGCTGGACCATGCTCTTTAATTAGAATATGAAGTCATGGGCAGGAAACAAAACTAAGCTTTAAGTCCTGTAGTCTTTTTAAATGATAACAACCCAAAAGCTCTGGCTTAGGATCCTAGTAGGAAATCTGCCAGCACCTTTCAAAAGCTAACTATTTGTAATTTGCAAACTGTATTGGTATTCAAGAATAAAACCCTGCTTGTGCAGGGGGAGGAGGCACTCCCCACAAGAGGGAGTGGCCATGGCGCCCTCCAGGAGAGAGTGTGGCCAAGGTGGTCCCCATGTGAGGAGTGGCCCTGCTGTCCCAATTCCCTCACAGGACCTGGTTGTCTCTGTGTATGTTTTTCTCATGTTTTGACAAACCATCCGCAGCGTCCCGTGCTCACTACAGGCAGGTGGGCATGCTTCACTATATCACTTCAGTCTTTTCTTCCCATTATTCTTCTCTCAAGAAAATTAAGATATAACAAATAGCACTCATAGTCATTTGATCAAGTTCTCACCAATATTTGGCTTCACTTGGTGCTACTCAGTTGCTATCTTCTGGACACATGTATTGGTCCTTATACACAAGCAGATAAATTTTTCTTTCAAATCATATCCTGTTATTTCACAAAGCACATATACTCTTTTTATGTAAGACGTCATCTGATCTATTTAGGTTTTCTGCATGTCTGAAAATGTCTATGGAAAATTTCCATTTATACACCTTTCTTCTAAAAGTTCACCAGAATACAAATAATGCTTTGTATTCTGGCAAACAGCAGTGAGGTAAGTTATCAGAATGACCCTGGAATATGACTGTGAAAGCTCATGCTCATCAAAAATAGACTTGGTCACTGATTTGGTAAAATGGGACCTCAAACACAGCTATGTCATACAAAAACACCCATCCATCAGTGGATTAAGAAGCTATGGAGAGGGGTCACATAAGGCAAGAAGAATTTGAAAGGGTGTCACTAAGATAAACCAAGAGACAGCTCCATTTATACAGCACATCTCTATTCATCATCAACCCAAAAGGTAACTCTGCTGCTTTAAGTCTTCACCAAAACATTTATTTCTATGACATTCAGAGAGAAAAATATTGGTCTTGATCATGCCATCTAGATACTACAGGCCAATGAACTCACATCTCTGGGCCTTAGTTTCCTTATTGGTAAAATGAATGACCACTAAAAGGTTGGCCTTTATGATCCAATTTATTTGTCACTCAACATATTTTCAGAAAAAAAGACATTAGACAACTGTACCTAAATTTTTAAAAGAGCTATCTTTTAAATTTGCCTATTTGTTATTCTAAAATAAGACAGTTCCAGAGATAGAGAAAGGTTAATAGAGAATACTTGAGGATGAATACAATCAAATAGAAAGTACTGTATAAGTGAAAGACTAATTTGGAAAAGCAAAATGGAAAGAAGATGTTGAAAGACTCATTTGAAAGGGAAATCCTTAAAAAGCACTGCATATGGAGTCAGTCTTGGTAGCAAGCCTTCATTCATAAGGATGAGTCCACACATTTGCTGCGCATAGAACAAACTCAACACAGAACGCCCCTGAATTCTGCTCGCTTGGCAAAGGAGTAGGCCATATGAATTCACCATATTTGTGGGTCTTAAGAAAACAGAGACAATTTTTTGAAAAAAAATCCATTTCCTACTTAGGGTAATGAGACAATTCAAAAGCAGTCACTGTGTGTGTTCATGGATAATGCAAGAACATATAAAAGGAATTATTATTTTAGCAAAGGTAGAGAATAAAATCAGTGAAGGCAGCCATCAGCAGGCTGAAAGGAAAGGAAAGGAACAGGCTATAACAATAAAAATAAGCTTACAACAATAAGAGACTGCAAAAAAAGTGTATGTGGAGGGAACAGAGAATAAATACATGTGGTTTATACTGGCTCACTGGTCAAGTCAATGCATGACTTAGTCGAGTACCTGTGGTTGGTGTAAGAGACAATGCAACGAATCTTAAAAATTTAAAGGAGAAAAGTCACTTTCTGTCATGAGCAGTTTAAGAGGAAAGAAAGAAAGAAAGAAAGAAAGAAAGAAAGAAATCCCAATGAGTGTAGCGTTTTCATTACAATATCTATTGCTAAGGTAATTGTGTACCAAGAATGAATTTTCAAAGAACAAAACTCTTGAAAGCAAAGTAGTATGTGCATTAGTAATACCTCATGATGTGCATAATGCAGAATTATAGCAGAGGAAAAAGTAGACACAGCTCATTATGTTTAAGTCATGAAATTAAATAATATTAAATTGCAATGGCATTTAAAACAAATTTTCTGTGGAATTTTCATGTTTATTTAAATCAAAAGCAGAGTTGTTGTTTTCTAATCCATAAGATTTTTTTCAAAGAAAGCACACTGACTGTCTAGTATGTATAGAGTGTGAGATCACTGTGATAGAGGAAAAATCTTCTCAAATAGATAGAGCAGATTTTAAAAGAAGGGCAAAAGCAGCTAAATAGACGCTCTAGCCAGCACCGCCATATTCCTGTGGTGTTGGTGGGCCTCTCAGTGGCTAAGAATTTGGGATAAACTTGGTCCCACAAGAAAATGACTTCAAAGAAATATATTAAATATATGAAGTTCTCAGTTTTTACAAATGGAGAGATGAGTCAGTCATGTGAATGACAAAATCAAAGCAGGCAAATGAATACATCTAAAAGCCTATTTTTTAAAAGTAAATTTCTTAATTCATATTTGTTTCCAAATTACTATTCAAAACCAAAAAGCAAGATTATTAATAAAAAGGATTTAGACATTACCCTCCAAAAGAAAGACTTCACAGAGAAATAAGATCCAACCACTTCATTTTTTGAGATGTCCTAAAAACAAACAAATATTTAGCTAAATTTTGAGGTATTCTCGAGAATACTTTATTAGTCCAACAAATTCAAAACAAATAAAAATGTCAAAATTATATATTCTAAAGATATTCTGGGTCTTTATAAATTATAAGTTTTCTTCTCTAGAATAAATTAAAGCTTTTATCTTATTCATATCTGATATTGGTAGTAGTAAAATGTAGAGAGGATAATTTCTGTAATTTTTTAAAGAGTCTACTTACCTCTTAATTCTCAATTGCTGATTAATATATCTGAAAGTCTAACATTTTATTTTAGAAGGAACTGCTTAAACATATTTTATGCATTTGAAATAAGTCAGATAATATCTGTTCTTTTTAACAAAACAATATAACACCACAGATCTTCAGAGTATTTTTAAAGAATAATAGCAGAAATATTACTTAGAAATACATACCTAGTCAAACACATACCTTGTTTAATGTCTTACTAAAATCTTCCTAGTTTTATGATATATACTCTGTGTGTGTGTGTGCGTGTGTGTGTGTGTGTGTGTGTGTATAAATGACTTAGCTAACCTGAGCTTTGTAAAATAATTTAAAAGAAATGAATACTGAGCAAGGTGGCTGCTGGGCTGGAAACAAAGCAACTAATTCATGTTGGATATTTCATTACTTAATCCTCAGATTTTATCATGTGAAATCAATTCAACTTTAGGAAATAAAAAACATAGTTACATACTTTTAAACAGAAAATTTAAATTACATGGATCCTTCAAACTTTAATGTTTTGCCTGCTGCATCTGGGTGTCATTTATGCTAAAATTAAGGGGTTGGCAGCTATGGGAAAGGATCAACCTTTGACACTATGATAAGGAGGAAGAAGTTTTATAACTTCTTTGATTATCCCATGATTTTGTGTTAGCAACTAAGATTGCAGTGGTCCAGCCTCTCAAATCATGCCTAATGCATAGCAGATGTTCAATTAAATATTTGTTGATTGACTGTTAACCACTTGGAATTTTATTTGGTTAAGGATACATACTCCTTCCAAGTAGGATACCAACACTATCTGAAAATAATAATGAACTAAAGTACTTTAGGTTATGCAGCAATTTGAATAATTTAAGTTTAAAAGTAGAATTACATTAGAGACCACTTATGCAATCTACCTGTGCTTTTTATATGAAATCTTAAATAAACTAATTACATTTTCCCAAGTCACCTACACAGGGTTCGGTTAGGTAGCATGACTAATGGCAGAGGTTACAGGGAAGAGGTCTTGAGTTTAAGTCATTTGTTTACCATCACCACAAAGTTATAATTCATTTACATTTACAGTTATGGCTCTCACCTGTCACACCGAGCACACTGTCACATCAGTTTCTGAAAAAAATCCTTAACGAACACACTGGCATTTGCACATTGGGGCAGAAACCTGAGATGAAACAATTGTGGTCTTTTCTCAATGCTGCACTATTGTTTAACTCAAAAACCTTGTTCTAATTTTTAGAAAAGATGCATGTTTCCTTTCCTATTGCCAATTCTTTTCTTACTTTGATTCTCAGTCCTTTTTTAACTAAGCAGCATGTTTAGCAACATGTGAAAAAATTTCAAGTATCATATTAAAGAAATAATTGCTTGTATCATTCCACAAATATTTTCCCCCAGAATCAATAACATAAGCTGTACAACTAACAGCAAGTTTATCTTAATGTAAAATGTGTTATGGCAACATGGGTGTGAAAGTCTTGGCTCTAGACTCAAGATAGTCACAAGGAAGACAACCCTTTAGAATTTAAAAGTATTGTAAATTCATTTAAACATTGGGTGCTCTAAGGTGACTAACATTGAAACTACACCAACTCTATACTTTTCATTCTTAGATAAACACAGAGGATAATGACCTAATTATGTGACTAGTATGCAAAGAGGAAATGGGATTGATTAACTCTGGGTAGGCAGAGATTTCATTGATTAAGATTTTTAAAATATAATTATAGTTAATAGAGGAGCATAGTAAATTGAGGTAAAAATACAGGCCTGTAGGAAGAGATGCTTATGCTATTTGCCCCTTGCTCATTGCCGCAATTTGGAATTCAGCAGCTTTAACCATGAGGTTGACTTTATGGCATTGATAAATGACAGTGTTGGGAGTATAGACAGCGGCAAAGTGAGGATTTGAATCAGAATTTTATATTTCTTTCAAAACATGCAAGCACCTCATTTTTCAAATACATATGCATAATAATTTGAAATGAGGCACCAAAGAAAAACCGTTCTGGTCACTCACAGTTGACAGTGTTAATAACCAGGAAAGTTTATATTTGTTGCCATTTTTACAAAGTTACCTATTTATTATCAGGATATGAGGTCTTTGTAGAAAGGACCTGGTCATTGTTAAATAATGACCTTCTTTGTTTTACTATGTCTGACTGACCGTATGAGACACTTAAAAGTGTGTTCATTTGTTTCTCCACCATTTCTTAAATTAAAGCAGTTAGATGTTTTCACTGATGCATTTTTAATGTGTTGTCCAAGGTGTCAGGTTGAACTGTGCCCTGCAGACTTACAGAGTTGAAAGTTGTTATCTAGTTTAAATCCACAATATTCTTGCCAAAAGTCTTATTAAAAATTACTTCATGCAACCAATGAATAAAGTGTTTTATAGTTCATTAAAATTATGTTAAGTGATTATGATGAAATCTTTATAAAAAAGATACATTACTTAAAAAATAAGCCATTAAGTAATAGAAGGTATGCTAATGAGACATCATCACAGAGTCTATATTATATTACTCAAAGAATGAACTCTTCTAAAAATAATTCTAAACTTATTGTTGAGAATATGAATTGTAACATGTGTATATATTATCACAATGGTTATTTTTCATACAGTTAAAGTGATTTGTTGAAAGCACATAAGTTTGTTATTATCACATCCACTGATAAACTCATTCTTCTTTGTAAACACACACACACATGCAGTGTAAAATAATTTCTGCTTACTGTCTGTAGATACAATTATTTCATTATTTTTCCATTTTTTGACTGACCCCACAAAATTTATTCACAAAATAAATATATATCTTCTCTTCTGAGCTCATGAAACTTTATTGTTGAATAATTTAACCTTGGAATAAGTTATCAATGATAAGCTTCTTCTAAAGAATAAAATATTGTACTAATTCAAAGTATTACCATTTCTCTGCCAAATGCATTTTGTCATGTAAGTAAAACTCTTTGACTAGGATAATTTGTAGTTGCCCAAGTTTAGAGAGACATTGATCCTTTCCTCTTAAAATAACATTTTTCTATAACTACTGAACGTTGGGGAGAATTAGAAATATAGATGATGGAAAGTGTGCTGATAGAAAAACAGCATGTTTTAAAGGATGTTACCATACCCAGAAGAGGAGATGTTATAGAATTCATAATTATTTACTGGCTTAAATACTATTCAAACACAGCACATATTTTATACATTCTTGCTTTTCAGAGGTAAGTTGAGGTATACTTTTTCCTACTAATTATTAGGCAGTAACACATTTACTCCAAATAATATATGTCAGCCCTGAACAGCAATGACAATTTCCTTGCCGTCAAGTTGGCTATTCATCTCTTATTTTCAATAGTAAGTACAACCCCATGTTATGTGAGCACCACAGATAATAAGACTTCCATTGAAAGAATCCATTAATGGCGAGATGATGAAAATGACAAGCAGATATTTAAGTAATGGGGAATTCCATGAGCTGATTCACTAGTACGGGGGAGATGTGTATATTAAAAACATTATGTAAGTTTAGCTTTTCCTCTCTCCATGGTTATTATCACTTCTGAAAAAATACAAGGAAATGGGGGAAAAAACTCCATGGTTGAGAGAATATCTGACTTTGTTAGTTTTTGTCATGAAGTTTATAATACCCAGATTTTATATTCACCATTGATGCTCAAAAATAGGCTACATGTCACAGCCCTGATATAAAATAGCAAAAGACCTCATTCTGTAAACTAAGATTCTAAAGAAGAAATGACCTATTTGTATGAGTCTGATTTTAAGCATAGTTACGTAAAAAATAAAATACGTATATTTAAATTTAATGCAAATAAACTATATCCTCTTTCCAACAATAAAAGAGGAAAAATCCTTACTCACACAAGAATCTTTAGAGAAGGTTTAAATAATTAAAGAAGAAATGCATTTCCACAAAACAATAACATAATAAACAGTAATGTAAAACCACACAGTATAGTCACTTATCTCTTAGTTTATCAGGAAGCACAATTTACAGCAGTGCCCCTATCTGCAGAGGATAAATTCCAAGACCCCCAGGGGATGCTGAAAACCACATAGTACCAAATCCTATAGACACCATTTTTTCTTATACATACAGATTTATGATAAAGATTAATGTGTAAATTAGGCAAGTAAGAGATTAACAATAATGACTAATAATAAAATAGAGCAATTTAACAACATACTGTAATGAAAGTTACATAAATGGGGTCTTTCTGTCTCTCTGATGACTGATCTGATAAGCAAGGTGGCTGTGAGGTGAGTAACAGCAGCGAAGTGTACAGCATGGATTCTCTGGACAAAGGGGTGATTCGCATCCCAAGCTGGATGGAGTGGGACAGTTCAAGATTTCATCACACTAAGAAGGGCATGCAATTTAAAATTTATGAATTGTTTATTTCTGGAATTTTTCCATTTAATGTTTTGCAATCATGATCCACCACAGGTAAGTGAAAACATGAAAAGCAAAACTATGGATTTTCTCATCCATAGTTTTGAACTTGGACTTTGGACTGTTGAACTTGAACATCATCCTATTTCCTTTATTCACTGGAAGAAAGACTTGTGGGAGCAGTTTCAGTATGTGAGAAGGATGGCAGACTGGTGGTAATAGAAATTTCAAACTTTCCGTAGATTTTGAATTTAATGCTCTGTTCTTGTGACACCAATATGGACAAATATGGCAAATATTTTAGGGGACAGGGAATGAATTATCAATTGTTCACTATGTCCTCATAGGAAGAAAAACAAATGAGTGAACTGATTTTCTTTTATTTAGTATTCTATACCTTGATTAAATTTTATAGAATTGAAAATCTCTTATGATAAAAACCCCAAAACCATATTAACGTATACACTAAAAATAATCTGCTAGTAACCCAATGAGTTAACAGATTAGATACAAGGAAATCTGTATCTTTAAGAGCAAGATAGAAAAATGTACAACCAGTTTGAATGTACAAATGGATTATTAATAACAAATAAAAACTCAAAGAATTTTAGATATAAAAATAGTGGAGTTTGATATTTATTATTAATTTTTAATTATTTTTGTAGACCAAAGAAAAAGAAGTGGATTTATGTTTAGTTAATTTATCATTAAAATTAAATTTAAATATAAATTAAATGAATTAAAGAATATTTATTCTTTTTGATGCTATAACAAAATGGATTATGTCCACTAATTAATACTAAATATTATATAATATCCTGCTCTAGCATTACATCTTGGTTATATTTGGAAGAGAGAATATTGTCACATATTAATGGATTATAAGTTTTTACACAGATATATCATAGTATTGATACCAAATGAGGAAAGCCAACTTGCATGAATTCTTAAAAATATATACTTTAATATAACACTAATTTTGAAGTATAATTACAAAGAAAAAAATGTAATATAAAATATGAACAGTGCAAACATTTCTTAAAGACTTCTTGAAACTTTATTTTGGTCAATTTAAAAAAAACACAATGAACACTAAATCAGAAATATCCAGCAACTTTCCTTAAAATGTTTTGCATTTTTTTTACCTTTTTTGTGAGCCAAATTATCTTTTGGTCATAATGCTATAAAAATTGGGAAGAAAATGTATAGTAAGACTTATTAAAGCAATGAATGTATTACCATCAGTGCAAAAATATTTTAAGTGTTTTCTTCATTCACAGTAATAAAAATGACAAAAATAAAGAAAATTTAATAGCATGATTCAATCAGAATGGGAAAAAAAGACTGTCATGTTCCAGGGTCTAAAAAAATTAGTCACTATTAAAAAAGAATACTGACTTCTTAAATAGAAATTTGAGCAAACAAGATTTTTACAAACAAAATCCCTCTGATTTATTTTAAGGAGTATTCACATAAAAGTAAATTTTATCTTGATACTTATTTGTGTCCAAGAGTGGTACCACCACTGAACAAATTAGAACAAATTAGAAGCTTAGTTTATATCTTATGTATTTTACAAGTTATAAGAGCCAGGACTTACTTAGTAAGTTATAGGAACCATAAACTCTTCTCATGCCCAAGAGCTGAAGTGAGAAGCAGCGATTATAAAAAATTGTTCTCATTATATGCTCCAAAGATGTAGCAATACAGGGATACTTGAGTTTAGAAAACCCTAGCCTCCATTTTCAGTGAACAGAAACAGTACGTTCCATAAATTTTCCTTCTCTCTGAAGCCAGTCCTACCCTTGCCTCATCATTTCATGCCTGATCTAGACTGGACATTTTCTAGACCCTGTGGTACAGGTAACAGAAACCAGATGCTGAGAATGATGCTGAGAAGTGACCAGAGATTAGCAAGAGGATGATTTGGGTGTGACTGATCAATGTGACTTCTATTTATTTAAAAAGCAACACATGGTTTGCTGAACATTTATGGGAAAAAAATAAATACTGAGGAGTGATGAAATCCCATGGTATAAATTGAAGAGGTATGAAAGAGATTTGGGAAAGCAGCCGATTGATAGTTCTCAACAAGAAAAGCTGAAAGATCACATGCTAAGCATTACCTTACTTGATCTTTTCCAACTCTTCCTCATTAGCATTGTCTGTAAATGAAATAAAGTATTTTCATTATCTTACCACTCAAGTATAGAATAGGGCAGCCAACTGGTTTCTAGAGGAAGCTTAACATTTAAACAGGAAACATTTTCCAGCAACAACTATAAAAGACAAATTGTTTTTCATGCACAGCTAGAAGCAGCACCTTTAACATTGAAGCAGTCTTTCTGGTGAAAGTTCATTTATTTGATTCTTTTTGTACAGAAAAGCAGTACATTTTAAATAGAATGGCAAATTTTAAATATCTTAATTATTGACACACACACACAAAACACATCGAGTCTCATGGGTGGCGATCGTTCCTTGTGGTGGGGAAGGTTGAGGATGTACCATGACTTTCCCAGGTATGTATCAGTAATAATTTTTCTCTTCAAACACATTCAAAGTCTGTTGCTTTTAAGGCATCATAGTGTTGCCTCTGCTTCCAGTTAATCTTTGATGACATCAGGATCTGTGAATGCTTTCTGCTGAGAAAAATGCTGCATCTTGCGATGGCTACTAGATCTTCCTGCTAAATGTTTAGCCATAACATATCCCTTAAACTAGTTTTGTGTGTGTATATGTCTTACTAAGAAGTATTTATGTCTATCAACTTTAATTAAGGTTATGGAGATTTGTGATGAATGCCCAAGATCATTGGTCATTGGTATAAAGTCATAAAAATCCAAAGATTTTTAAATTTCATCTTCAGTTTTAAAAATTTCTCAATGAACACTGAGGTATTAACTTTCTGATTAATCTCTTGACCCTCTTTTAGCTTTATCATTGTCTTTAAGGTAGATGAATTGGCTAATAAGTAATATTTGAAGCAAAGACTACAGCTTATAGAAATGTTTGCCATATTTGTGTATCAAGAAAGTGCACTTGTACTTTTAAGAACTATATCTCCCTCAGTAGGATTCACTATAAAGCAGAGCTATTTCAGAAACCACTCACAAATTACAAGAATACAAGAAATAAGAGATTTTAATATCAGATTAAGTCATATAGAAAGCAACCTTTAGCCTAAACTAAGAAAGTTATGTAGACATTCTAGGGTAGGGAATGAAAAAAACATAAAATTATCAAAGATAAGACAGTTTCCTCTTTTCCACACATAGTGGCTCTATGGGTTATACTTTCTTTTATAGATGCTTTGTGTTAAATATTGACCAAAAATATGGAAGAGTAACAGATTTCCTAACATTATAACGGGTCACCATTTTTTTCCCAAATGGAGCTGGGAAACTGCAAAGGATTTTTATTAAACACTATTACAGGAGGATTTTATGTGTTTTCAAAGTACCAATGTCCAATTCATTTTGAAGCAACAAAACCCACCATTGGATTGTGGAGATGCACTTGTAGTGGACAGGTGATAGATGCTTGTTAATGTAAAATAAGGTATTGCGATCAGCATCAGCACAGCATCACCACCACCACCACTTTCTCCACCATCACTAAAAGGCAACTGGAAATGAAACACTTTTGTAGCATGACATATTCACAAAAACTGTCCCATTAGGAGACAGATGATAAATGTTCAGTTTTCTCAGAAAGTAGAGTTTCAAGGGACAAAGAATGGTAATTCCTAGAAATAATACTTTGAGTCAAATAAACAGAACAATTAAGAGAAATCAAAAAGTAAAATCTCTTAATTCATGGTCATTTACCATCATCATCTAGCATCTAAGAATCTTATAAAATTTCACTCTGTAAGAACTGTTATACCAGAAAAAGAAACTAAGAACATGAGGAAGAGTTAAATGCCAGGGTAACGCTACCCAATAGTACATAGACTCACTACTACTGGTCAAAGCCACACCCCCTGACTCAGACTGCTGCATGCAACTAGCTTTCAGTATGTAACACAAACTATGGGGCTGGCATTGTTCCTGTCTTTCAGAATTGGCTTTACAAACAGGCTGCATGGTATTATTTTTCAGACTGGGATACTGATACAAACAAAAGGTGAGTAGTACTTTCCCTAGGTATAAATATAAAAGATTTGACAGGCATGGAAACCAATTCATTATTTTCTTGATTCAGTACCTTCAGTTCTTTTATTAGACCTAGTGACTCTCAAAATGGCCCTACATCTTATTTAAAAAGTTCTGCTTCTTGAGCCAAAACAACAAGCTGAACAACGGCTTTGAGTGTCTCACTCCTAAGTTCCTTTTTCTTTTCAGATGGTTGGGTTAAAGGTATACTCAATAAAACTGAAAACAATACAAACTTTTTTTAAGTGAATTCAACAGACATACTATTAATACTGTTACCTTTTCTCTCTGTGAGACATGTTAGAAAAGAAAGACTGTTTACAGAATGTTAAAGACAGCAGATGAAGCTAATTATAGAAAAAGAAGATTTATTTTTTTGCTCTATGATCTTCAGCTGACAAACATGAAATCATTTTTGATAGTGTCCTTATCTAACATTATCATAGTGCAATTAAAATTCTTCATTAGGAGCTCAACTTTATTTGAGGCCAATAAAACATAAGTAGCATGAAACGGTGCCCTGAGATGGAACTGCAAAACTGATTACTTTTTTAAAAGATTCCACAATCTCAATAGAATATTTGCTTTTATTTTTTGTTGTAGTGATTTTTTTAGGCAATTAAATGTCTCTCTATGCAAAGAAAATCACAGAATGGGTAGATGTTATAGTATATACAGATGACAGAACATAACATATTTTTGCAGGTGGATATTTTGCCAAATGTCAGCTATGAAATAATTCAGAAAAATTTCAAAAATAAACCAACGTGAAAAAAAATTTTTTCACTAAAGGCCAACTAGGGTCAAATCACATGATTTTTAGAATTTTCTATCTTTTAACTTTAGCTTTAGCCAAGCAATTTGTAGGTCTAGACTATCTAAGATAGTGTGTAACATAAATTAACTCCTTTTTATTTCACAAATTCTCCAATGAAGGAAGTTGTGGATTGGACTCTGCTAGAAAAAAAGCCAGAAAGAACTCAAACACACTATTGGACCCAAGTATCATACACGAGACACACATGTATGCACTACACACTTCGGGGGTGTGGAAACAGGACAAGCATCCAAAACAGAGATAACCATTGTGTCATGTGACTCAGCAGCTTGCCCCCCATGAAGATTCTAATCTCTCATACACACTATGCCAGAAACTTAAAAAATGTATACACACATATATAGATATACTTATACATATACACACATATGTATATATTCACAGGGGGGATTTTTTTTCAAAGGACTCAGTTGTGAACTCAATGGAGAAGATTTTAATATAAGCAACTATGAAATACTTAGGCTCTTAATTATACTATACTTCTTAAATTGCTGCGATTACACCTTGCATGTTTTAGAGGCCTTAGGAGATTTAGTAGGCTGATAGGGTTTTCAACCCATTCTTCAGTTATTAATTTCCAGAATTGGCAATCCACGCAAGGAGAAATCATCCCAGATGCATTATACACAGTATGTATTGTCAGTATTAACAATGTATGAAAAACTCACGAGCTAACTGATTCAGAAATCTTAGCATTTTTCAATGCTAAGTACTCTGTGTTTCCAGTTAGTTATCTCTTCCTACTTTGATAGCATTTTCTTACCATTAATGTTCCATTTCCTATTTGATTGTTAGGATTTATTTGCTAATGGCTCTTGAAACTCATATTCCATTCTCCATTTCACTAAATATAAAATATTTAGCAAAATCTTATAAACACAGGCATAAGAGTAAACATGTGGTTTTTAAACTAGAGTTTTAGGTCCCAGAAGCTTAAAAAGATTATTTCCGAGCTAATAATCAAAGATAACAGAGCTCCTATCATTCTTCCAAGTGTGAGTCAATGAAAAGCCATCTTCTATTTCCCCCTCTATATCATTCTAAATATTGAAGGGAATTGTGATCATTTAGTAACTGATTTCTGGTTTATTGCATCTTGAATTGGGGTTTCTCTAAGGTTTGTTTCTGGATAATTTGTGAAAGTTCAGTATGTCATTTTTACTACAGCAATATGTTACATATTTCAGGCATATAAGAATTTAATTTGAAGATATATTGGATCTCTGTTTTTAAGCAAGAAACTTCAAACGTATGTCAGAGAAATATATTTAGAAAGCATGAGACATGTTACAAAATGAAGAAGATACAGTGACCTCCTTCTAAATCATTGTCATCATTGGAAATCTTAGCCCTAGCTGGTGTGGCTCAGTGGATTGAGCTCTGGCCTGAGAACCAAAGGGTCCCTGGTTCAATTTTCCGTCCGGGCACATGCCTGGGTTGTGGACTGGACCCCCAGTTGGGGGTGGGTGAGAGGCAACCACACATTTATATTTCTCTCCCTCTTATTTTCTTCTCTAAAAACACATTTTAAAATCTTAAAAAAGAGAAATCTTTAGACAAGCAATACAGACTGATTTTAAGCCCATTCTCATTAATCTACTAATTTTAAGCATGCAAAAGGCAAATTAAATTATTATTATTTATTGTTTGTCACAACCTCAGGGATTTGTAGGAGAAAGAGATTTAAAATATTTTCCCTGCATATTTGAAGCATCCCTTCAAATCCTCACAGATATTCATCTACAACCACTGAACAACCATTAGGTACAGAAAGTTGGGCTAGGTTTTGAGAGAAGTCATCATAAGAACGGTATCAGGAGCAATAAGTTACATGTACATTTTTTTTTTTACCAGGGTGATGGCATATGGGATGCAGATGAGGAGAAGTGCACTACAGATTTATTTTAGCTAATATGACATTGAAGAAAGCTTGCACTTATGAGAAGGTGAGTTTTATAGGAGTGTGCATGGCTGGGACAGAGGTTATAGTAACCTATAGTAAGTGAGGGAACATATGTTGATCACTGGTGAACCTTAAAGTCTGCCATTAAGAGTTTCTCTTTAATCAGAGAAACAGGTCACTGAACACTTAGAAGAAAAATAAAGAGGGAGGTATAGAATCTAGCACATGCTTAGTAGATAATCAGTAAGTGTTTTTTTTGTAAATAGGTGCCTACAAATGGCCCTTGTCCCTAGTCTTAAAATCTCGTAACTAGTGTTGCTTAACAATTTTAGAGATATGAAAAAATAGCTAAAGAACCACTCCATGGACCAAAGCAAAGGGGGAAAGGCACACTTATATGTATTTGTTAAAAATTTCCATAATGTAAAGCATATGTTTAGAAACACAAATCCAAATCTAGGACATCAGACTAGCCAGGATATTGGGGAACTCAACAGAATTTCCTATGAGGAATATTTTATCCTATCTCCCCACCTGCTGACTCACTTCATTTCTCTATAACCAACCCCATATACCCCGCTATTGATCACATGACCACACCCACAAGGAGGAGCCAGTACAGCCACACTGGTCACCCTTCTCTCTGCTCCTCAGGTGTGGCTGAGGTCAGGGTGGTTCCCAGCCAGAGGCTAGCCTGCTACAGGCTGCAACTGTTGTGCCTTTCTGAGGCACTGAGTCCTGGCTGAGACACTTGCTTCTCTGATGAAGGAGAAAGAAGATAGGAGAGAATCCGTGTAGGAGACCGTTCTGTGTGGCGTGGGCCCAGCTCCCACTGGGAGATGCACAGGACCCACACCCACGGATGGGTTCACCCATGGGGAATCAGGCCTGCAATGTACCCGGGTCACTATGAGTCTTGCTTTTTGCTAAAACTCCCTCACCCTGAATTGAGGACATTTACTGCAAAGTAACTTCCTAAAATCCATGCTAAACCTTCCAAGGATGAGTGTAACAGGTTCAACCACTTTTGCCTTTTCATTTGCAAATATCCCTCTTCTGTGGTGTGATTGGCAGCGTTGGCTCCTTTGTTTTTTGTAAAAGGTAACCACCTAAAGCGAACCTGTACATAGTAAATGAGGACCATCATGTAATGGGCAGAAAAAACCAGTAAAGGCCTGTCATGGCAGAGGCCATGGCTTTTGCTCCCCTTGAAAGAAAAGCCACGCTGTCCCTTTTCCTCCACTGGATTCGGTAGTCCGTGTGAATGTCTCATTTCATCCATAATGATGTGGACACTGTGGGCCAGTGTCTGCATCAATCCGCATTAGAAAGAGGCAAGAAGACACTGTTTTTCAGTTGCCACAGAGTAAATCCAGTACTATTTAGGACTTTGAAGGGGAAGGACATGAAGCAAGGCAGTGAATGAAGAGTACTTGTCAGCAAAAGATTTCTTCCAGAAAGCTGGGGTAGTCAAAGGAATTTGAGTAAAGAAAACGGCATGAGGATTTCAGAAAGAACTGTTTGTGTTAAGAGTGAATGTAGCTGGAGAGATATAATGAGGAGAAAGAAAATGGAAGAAAAGATTAATAATGCTAGATTTTTAATGTGTAAATGTTTCATGTAACTGCCTGTTACATTTTCTACTCGTGTTTGATAAATCATTGATGATCAAAAACCAGGCACTGAAATATTTTTAAATCATTTTTTCTAATTAGAAAGACATTGCACCCAAATAATAAGTTTGAGCAGTTACGAATACAGAAGGAGTTTTGCAAGAATTGTTGAAAAGAAATAGGAACTATTCTGCCTGTGCTGACGTATAATTCTGTGAAATTTAGAACAAGTAGCACCTCCATCACAAGGTCACCTGATACTTATTTGATCCTTTAAACCCTCAATTTGATGTTAGAGTACTTAATAAATCTCTTTTTAATGTAAAAATTTAGTACACTGTCTATCCATCATCAAGTCACCCAAATAACTACATGGTTTGAGATATGCAAGACCTCAGGCACTTAGGTATTTTCATTTATGAAGTGCTTTCCCTTCATTAAAAATAACACCGAATCCCAAAGCAGCAAAAAAAAATACTATCACCAAGTTTTGTTCATTTTACCTCTCATAGGTAAAGCAGATGATTTCCCTGCATTTCTATCTCTGACAGTACTAGTCCAAACTTCCATCACCTTCCACCTGGACTCTTGCAATAGTCTCCTAACTGTTTTCTAAGCACACATTCTTATCTTCCATCTGTCTTCTACCATGCAGCTACAGAGCTATTTTCAAACATCAAACATGGTTATGCCCTTCCTAGTTCCAGACTCTTCAATGGCTCCCCATTGCTCTTTGAGGAAAGACCACAGCTGCAATGTGGCCTATGTACCCTGCACCATCAGTGCATCCCTTTCCACTCCAGTTCTCACCAAGCTCTGTGATCTTCCGCTCTCTCTTCATTTTCACCTTCTCTAAGCTCTAGCGCTTTTTAAATTCTTGGAAAGCAGCACGGTTTCTCTAGCTACAGGGCCTTTGCACATGCTCTTATTCTGCTGAAAATACTTTCTCTTTTCCTGGCAAAAGCCTTATTATCTCTTATTTATACTTCAGACATCAGCTCCCATTTGACTTCCTTAGAGAATCACCATCCCCTGACTAGAACACATTCTCCTACATTTGCTGTTACAGCATCATGTACATCTCCTCCGTGGCACTTAAAACTGTTGGCATCACATCATTACACATCTTCTTCAGTGATTATTTGATTCCCAAATTCTCCATTGGATATAAGTTTCTTATGTCCTAAGGGTCTAGCTCACGACCTGGCTACAGTGGATCTTCCTGAGGACCAGCCCTCACCCACCCTTCTGTCCGCACACAGGCCTCTGCGTAAGCACGTGGACATGCTCTTCCATGGGGCTCAGTTCTCACAGCAGGCACTAATGGCAACACTTGCTAGAAAAGAGAAATTTCTTCCTCACTGAATAAAGTTATAGATGCTTAGATCATACTTAAATAGTATATATGAGTATGTGCACTCACTGTTTAATTTTTTAAAAGATAGAGAAAAATGCTCATTGAAAAGGGTGAATTCTTCAATGAGTTTAAAAACACTTCCTAATTTAAAGATGGAGCTATGTTTATCTACAATGTAGAGAAAAATAGCAATAATACCTTTTCAGAAGACAATATATACTAAGTTTAATCATGCATTATTTTAGGACAGCACTACACACATTGCTATATTGGGTATTTGAACTTGCCTGAAAAATTATGTCTACTGCTAAAATGAGTTACAGTCAGAGCCAGTGAGGGTAGCTTCCAGTACATGAAAGCACATTGGGTCTAATAAGTGATCTCTGGTAAACTGTGGCGGAAAGTGCACTGGCCAGCATACCGATGTGAGTCAAACCTACCAGTTGTTTATGTCCCTTCAGCAATGCTGGAGTAAGTGGCTCCTCGGTGTCCGCATGGTAGGCGAAGCAGCACAGCCAGCCAGTGCTGGAAAATGAGTAATGCTGGGATGGCAGCCCGCCAGAAAGATGAAAGGTGCTCACTTATTCAGCAAGTTCCAGAAAGCACAAACTCTGTTATAATTCACTTCCTATTCTTTGTTAAGGTACACCTGACACTATAGTCAAAATACTAAGGTCTGGATACCTTAGTATAAAATTCCAAATATTAAATTAATAAATGTATTCCCTGAATGAACACTGTTCTTTGTCTACAATATAACAGGTCAGAAATTGAGAAATAAAATTATAATAAAAGATGCAAATGTGTTTCCTCTTTTACAACAGAGGTTCTGATCTGGAGTACAGAGCAGGAAATGTGAGTTAAAAAGATATACAGGGCCTAGTGATACCCGGGACACTCTCAGGAACAAAGAACGGACCAGGTTTCCACAGGCTCCTTCTCTTTGTTATGACCTCTGGGCTCAGAGAAGGCTCACAACATCCTGACAGTGTCTGAGTGCACATCTGAGAGTGAGCCTGAGGGCAAGAAAGCAGCCCTACAAGGCTGTGGAGGGACTTACCACATCCCTGTGCTCTCCTTCCTTAGGTGTGAGGATGACTGAGAGCAAAATGGCTCCAAGGTCATGGTCAGGATAGTGGGGATCTTTCAGTGTCAGAGTCACATCTGTGGGCCTGTGTGGAAAAATATTAAGATTTTGAACAGTTATTCAATGAATAAGCCAAAAATACATTTTATATGAACACTTTTGTGTTCCTATACACTCCTGTTATAATTTTTGTTGTTATTAAAGTTTCATCGATGAATTAAGTTATCCAATAGTCATGGGCCAACTGGGTGCACTTGGATTCACTGGATAAGTTTCAGTCCCGCGTGGGGCTCTGGAAAGGCCCCAGGGTTGCCTGAAAGGCCAAACACCCACAGCAGCATGGAGAAACCTATACATACCTGCTCTGTGGTCTCTGAACACGAAGAATACATGGCGGCTATTTTCTGTAAATTTGACTCCAACAACTAAATAGGGGCACTTATTGACCACTAGCTTCCTTTTGGTTATTTAAGATTTTTTAAAATCAGGAATATGAAATATGATTTTTAAATCAGGAATATGAAATATGATTTTTAATCATTAAAAAATGAGTGGGAGAAGAGAAAAATGAAAAATATAATTTATTTAATATGTATTACAGATATACTTTAAAAACAATGTATAATTACTTAAAAGAAATTCCAATACTTATAACAGTGCTCCTATTTTTGGGTTGTCTAAACCTATGCCTGAATCAGAAATGCAAGAAAATCAATAATTTGATCAATACTTAGAAGATTTTGGAATTATGTATCTCTGAGGAAGAGATTATAAATTACTCATTACCCACAATGACTTTTAGAAAGTAAGCAAATTATACATTCAATAGACAATGCATAGTGATAGCTTGTTTCCATATTTTAATTAATATTTAACAAATAAGGATTCATGCCCTCCATAAATCTAAGGGACTATGAAAAGTTTGGTACTAAATTTGAAGCTTGAAATGCTGGCAAATTAGTAATGTTCCTTTGCTTGTTTAGTCACCTATTCATTAATTTCATTCACAAAACATGTATTAATAACATATCAAAAGCCACACACTAGGCTAGTTTCTGGGTAAAAACCAAAGGCCAAAGATAAGATCCTTGTCTTCACTGACCTTAACTGTTAGGAAACAATCCAGTTAGAGTCTCACACTGCGGGGAAGGTTGGGTGGGGTAAGTTGATCCAAATGAGAACTTTTGGTCCTGGTCGCACATCAGAATCAACTGGAGAGTTTTTAAAAAATTGCACAGTCCTGAATTCTGCCCATAAGGACTCTGGCTGTCACTATAGATCCATCAGGGTGGGGTCTGGAAACCTACATATTTATAAAGCTTCCTAAATGATTTTCTCATATGACCAGGGTTGAGAGCCTTAGTTTCTTTTTAATACTAAGTTATTATAATAGTAGAAAACTCTTTCATATAATGCTTAATTATATGAAAGATAATTATATGAAAGTGAAGGAATGATGTTATTAAAAATATGAACAGTTTTCTGATATCAGGGGCTTTAACTGAAAATAAGTAGCCTGTTAGATAAAATATGTGTTATAATAGCTGTGAAGCAAATTGTTCCAATGTTATTTTAGTTACAACTAATCATTATGGTCATATAATAATAACTTGTTCCTTTTATTTTAACAATATGCAATATATTAAGCATTATATTGTATGTGTGTCTGTGTGGAGGGGGATCACAGCTTGTTTTCCTATAATGATTATACATAAAAATTAATAGAAAAATCTTCATTACATTTTTATAATGATTACATGATAAAGATTTAAGGACTTTTGCAGTTGCTTTAGGACATTTATTATTTTCTTTCAAAGAGATCCCTTAATGCATTATATAGTAGCATAAGTATTTATATGACCACTATTATAATCCCTCTTCTTACATCCTGAGAGATGGAATTTAATGGCATAATTACAGATACATAATTTTTTAAAGTAGTATGTGATTGTAAAAAGTAGCTTGGGGGAAAGGGAATGGTTAATTAATATGTAAAATAAGTAATGTGGCAACATGAACACCAAATGCTTGTATATATTTTCTTAATTATCCCATATTTTTCCATTTAGTTATTTTTTGCAATAATTTATCTTTAACAGAGAAGAAGAAAAAATTGTGCTCTGTGATTAAGTCCAGTAGTTTGCATAGCCTTATGCATAAGCCTATGGAAAATATAATATGGACTTGACAGAAGGACAGCACAGCCCATTCTAGCTGGAGCTTAGTTTTACAATAATAGACTATAAGCAACACCATCTAGGGCACTTCCTCCCACTGTGGTGAGGTGGGGAACCACCCTTTAGCTGGGTTCTATTTTTAGGTCACCCTGCACTATGGTTGCAATGAAGGACATAAAGGGACATGAAGGTACAGGCCCTTTTTGTCCATTTTGAGGTAAAAATGACCTTTGGAAGACCAAAAGTGGACACTGTGCTCAAACTTAGTTGACTATAACACTTAAGGGGCTCTACAATTTATATTCCCCTGCTCATCTGCATTTGTAGAAATGTAGAGTAATAATCTGGTCCATTATACTGCTTTCCACTATTTCTGACACTTGATGCAGCAGCAGCACCTAACGCAAACCACCACAGGAGATTTTATAGCTCCCTTTGCAACCCATTCCAGCAGCACTGGACCCTTTTCAAGCCTATTTTTTCTTCTGTAGTATTAATCAATTCTTAGCTTCTATGTGGAAATGCACTTGAAAAAAATACAAGCCCATAATTAGGTGCAATAAATAATTAATATTAGTAGTAAAAATATAACTTTACAACTAGTCAAGCAATGGTAAGCTACTATAACTGAGCAAGTATGACCAGTCTGCCTCCATTCCACAGGCATTTCTTGGTAACCCAGGATTACTGGTAATGGCACAATTAGACTCTATTTTGGCTCAGGTGATAAGAGAGTTGCTGTATTTGAAGCAAAGTGCACATGTTTTATTTCCCATATAGTGGCCTGGTTCTTAAGTTAATAAGTATGACTAACAGGCATAATCTTGATGCCTCACTACAACCAGACAAGCAATATGAGAACAAGGAATGTGTCTCTTATCTCTAGATTCCTTTACTTAGCACTGTACCAGGGGAAAGCAGGTATTCAAGAATTTTTCTGTTAAATAGTTGTTGAATGACATAGTCAGGGGAGATGCTATTATTTCCTTTGGGTAAACATGAAAACGGTACTTCAGAAGGACTACCTAGCACAAAGGTTCACAACCACACATGATAGAACAGCACCTAGAATCCAGACCTGCTGACACTGTCCATCATACTGGCACATCTGCTCAACGAGATGTAGTGATTTTACAACAGTTCTGAAATCACCTGTTTAACTCCAGCTGTGTGAGATCCAGAAAGGCTGAGCCCATGAAGTCATCCTGTAGTCCAAAATCATAGTCAAATACCTAAGAAGCCAAAAAGACATTATTATAAACAATTCCAAAATAAGCTTTAAATACAAATATCTTGATACAACATTTGCTTTTGTCTATATCATCAAAACAATGAAGTTTTCTAACATTTATTTTTAAATAGTATTTGTTTTTGTAAAGTGTGATAAAACATGTGTCAGAAAACATTAAAAGAAAATGGTGTTTAATATCCAACTTGAAAATATTGATTTATACCAAATAGAACTTTAAGAAAGATGAATAAAATCAAATAAAATATAGTAGGTCATCAAAAATGTGGGAAACACAGACTTTGAAGAGTTTCCCCATACAATACAAGGGCATCAGCATCACTGGAAGGTGAATGAGTTGGCAAGAAATTAAACAAATATGTCTTTCAGCCTGAACTAAAGATGATGAGAATATCATTCCAGGTTCTCAGGTCATAGAAGACAAATTCTATGATATTATGGCACAATGCCATTTAAAGATACAAACAAGTAAAAACTGAGATATTATGATTAAAGCATTTTGTGATGTTACATTAAGTTAAATTACATGCTTATTGTCACAAGCAATGACTAGGGGATAATGTTAATGTGATTAACAACAACAAAGGACAAGAAAAGAGAGAATGCATTTCTTCCTTCTGTCAGAACAATTTGCCAGTATCTCCTCTGTGCCTTTTCTTCTTCTTATTCATACTACAGTGAATAAGGCAGACAATGGCCCTGACTTATCCCCATTTACGGATAAATACCGAAATGGACATGTACAGTTTAGTGATGGACACTGTGGAGACAAATATCTAAGGGGGCATGGCGGGAGCTGCTATTTCAGACAGAGAGTTCAGGAAGGCCTCTGGGAGGAAGTGTGTTCATATGGAGACCCCAGTGATGAGAAAGATTAAGCCATGTTAGTATGGAAAGAACACTCTAGGTTAGGGGTATCAAACTCATTTTCATCGGGGTCCACATCAACCTCATGGTTGCCTTCAAAGGGCCCAGTGTAATTTTAAGACTGTATAAATGTAACTATTCCTTAACTAGGTACAAGGAGTTCAGCATTGCCAGTGGGTAGAAATAAGGTGCTAGGCTGGATAAAAGAAGATAGAAGGCCAGATTTGGCCTGTGAGCCTTGTGTTTGCCACCTGTGCTCTAGGTGGAGGAACCAGCAAGCAATTAGCATGTTCAAGGATAATTATTAAGAAGCCAGTGTGGTTAAAGCAGATTGAGAAAGATGGAGAGTAGAAGGGCATTGAAGAGATAGCTCAGAGCCAGATCAGTTAGGGCCTTTTCTAAAAAAAAATCTCTAAGTAAATGGTAGTTGGCTAACTTTCATCCACTTATTAAGTTTTTCTTGTTCATTCCCTCAGCCAACGTTGATCAGGGACTTATCATGTGTCAGACAATGTGCAAGGCACTAAGTGAACAGTGGCGAGCAAACTGACATTGTCCATGTTTACAGTACAGTGAGGAAGACACGTGTTAAACAAGGAGGTGCACAGGTGATGTGTAATTACACATCTTGATAAGTGGTGTAAAGAAAACAACAGGGTCTGAAAAGAAACACAGAACAGAGAAGGTCAGAGAAATTTTCAAGATGGAAAAAAATGCTAGTAGATGAAGTTTGGAGCTGTGTTTCTTTGCCCTTTCAAACAGAAACTCATATGCTCATATACTGGAGTATATGAGCCTAAATAGATCAGCTCTCTCTTGAAAGGACAAGCCAGGCCATTAGGTCTCCAGGATGTGGGAATCCATTGGCCTGAGAGATCCTGTAGCCCAGTGCTCCTATGCCCAATTCTCAGCACACTGTTAGAAAGCTAGAAGCAGAAGGAACAATGTATACAGCAGCCCTGAATCAGTTACTGTTTTTTCTCTAGTGCAGGTGTACTTCAATTTAAACAAATTTAACATGTAAAAAAATCAATCTTAAAACAAAAAGATAAATACATTTCATTATAAAAAGATTCTTAGATTTGAAGAGTCATAAGGGGATTTATTTAAGTAATAAGTTCCTCTAATACCTCTTAAATTATTCAATCTACAGTTACTTGATTTACATACAGCCTTGCAGGAGTACATTTGTTGTAGAAAGTGCAGCATTCCTACAACAAATAGCCTCCCTGATCAGTTGCATTCTGGAACTTTAGTCTTCCGCTTAATGGCATATCATGTGAGTATTGTGGGCATCTTTCCTACTGACACCTAGGTATTTGCAAGTGGCTGCAGTAGTGTATTTTACAACATAAAATTTACACCACAGATTAAAGAAATTCTCTTGTGCAATCTCTTCTAACTGTACTACGTTAAGGCTTAAAATTTTGGGGAGACTATAGTGACATATAATCAACGAAAACACCTGGGGTACATCCACACACGCGCAGTGAAGAGCTGTAAACCCAGTGCATTTATTAGGCTAGATGACCCAACTGGGTGACTCAACTTTTTTTTTTACTTTTAAACTCTCTCTACTCTTATGATTAGAGTCTTTCCTACTATCCTAATGCTAGACATTTATTTTAGTTCTCAATTCCTGGTCATCAGCAAAGGCATTGACGCGGGACAGAATGGAAACATCAAAATCGATTTGTTAATGAAATTACTAGATATGCTACTTGGTTTCAAGCTCTACACACTACTAGTCAGAGGGAGCATTGCTCTCGGTGGAACTTCAAAAATGCACAGCAGAGAAAAATAATAAAAGGGGGAGGGACCCCTGCTACAATAGCAACATGCACAGCTCACTCTGGTTAATGTTGTTGTCTACATTTATGATATGTTAGGCACTGTGCTAAATACATGACACAGATTTTTAAATTTAATTCTTACACAACTCAGTGAACAAGGTATTGTTTCCATATTTCAGATAAGGAACCCAAAGTTTTAAAGGTTTGTTCCTGTCCCCAAAATTCTAGGATTGAAAGAGGTCAGAACAAAATCTTGTTGTACTAAACTTCAAAAATTTAAAAGCCATCACCTGGGCACCCACTCTTGGTGAAGCACTTGACATTTGAATGTATACAATTACATGGGATGCTTAATTTCGAACCCCCACTCCATTGTGCTGGAAACACAAGGTCACATCAGGTAGAAGTTGCTTGGGGACTCAGAAACAATTCTCTTCATTCTCAAATCAGTTTAGAACAACAAATATTTTATCCTAATCAATGCATTAGAGAGTGGATCAATTTAAATGCTTTTGGATTTAAGTAACAGAAAATAACTCACACCAGTTTCAGCAAAAATGGGGATTTGTTAGCTCAAACGACTGAAATATCGCTACGTAATTGTGACTTCAGGGGAATTGTAATTTGGCAGTTTGAATGATTCATATTTTTATTCATGAATTTATTGCAAAAATATTTGGTGAGTCCATGTAACTTGCCAAGTACTATTCTAGGCACTGGAAATACATCAGTGAACAAAACAAAGCCTTTATTTCTTGGGGTTTACATAGAAGGGAAAGATACAGACAATAAACAAATATGTGTTAGGTAGTTATAGTGCTGTGGAGAAAAATATCTCAGGGTATGGGATAATGAGAACTGCTATTGATGTAAGAGAAGATGGCATTTGAATGAAGTGAGGACACATAATGAGAATAGGAAGTGGAAAGGTATCCAGGTCAAACAATACGATCCAAAATATAAAATTCTACTCAGAAAATACATCCATGCCCCATTTGCATACCCAGGAAGCTTCAAAATAACCATTTCATTATAAAAGAATCATTAAACTCTAAATCACAGTTGCTTTACAACTGACATTGTAAAGCAAAGAAACAACACAAAACCTAACTGTGGCCATTCCAATTAATCAGCTATAGTGCAAAATGGAAGCTATTTTGCAGAATTGCTGAGTGGACATAGCAATCTTAATCTCTCTGAATCTCATTCATCTATGCAAAGGAGAGGAAATAGGTACAGACAATAGTACAGTGGTTACCAAGACACAGTGCAGGGGTGGGGGATAGCACGGGGTGAAAGGGGTCGAATATATGGTGACAGGAGAGACTCAACTTTGGGTGGTGAACACACAAATGCAATATACAGATGATGTATCACAGAATTGCACTTGAAACCTGTATAATTTTATTAACCAATATCACCCTAATACATTTAATAAAAGTAAAAAATAATGACACAGGAGATGACAGCAGTTACTTGTAGGGTCAGTGTCAGGATCATGTGCTTTAAGCAGCTGGAGCACACAGCGCAGTGCTCAGTGAGCGGTAGCTATTGTTGTGATGACGCGACTGTAGATTCTGTCCCAAGACTCAGCAGCCCTGCAGTGTCTTTCCCAATGAAGCAAAAGCAAGTACAGTCAAAGTAGTCATGCTTTTCATCTTTGTTTTGTTTTCCTATCGACTTTTTAAAATCTAAAGTAATTGAAATTCTTGATTCATGTATTTAGGAACTGTTTTTGAACCACACAGAAAAACATATCTAAGATAATACAAACACCATTTAACTTGAGAGTAATTTTATTAGGTTGCTCTATGAGTTGTGGCTGCGAACCTATTTCCATTCCAACTATTCAGTTTCCATTTAAATGTCTAGAAATAAACTCTCTACCCAAGCAGTGCCTCAGAATTAACTACTGTGTTTTGAAAATACAGAAGTGTGGACTCTATCTCCCAGGTCCTGAATCACAATCTTTAGGAGAGAGACTTGGACATCTAGGTTCTTTAAAGCTTTCTGGAAAATCCTAATGTACAGCTAGGGTTGAGGATAATGGGTATATAACATCCTTTTAGAGCCCTTAAAACCTACTAAGGAATAATTTTAGATTAAAACAGTAATGTGGTCTTTTTTTTTAATTTGAACCAAGCATAAAGTACCTTTTTTACTTTCTATCTGAAGCTTGAATCAATATGCATTATTTAAGAAACTTTCCATTTTGTTAAAGTGACAATCTTAGTAACATGACCCCTAACTGAATTGTCTTGCTAATTCTCAAAATCTTTCTATTATGTCAAAAAGCATTCCAATTTAATACCCAGATTTCAAG